ATTATTCTTCTTTATTATTTCATATTGCAGGCTCAATCCGTGATCACATGTATATTTTATAAATCAGGTTACGTAGGCAAAAGTACACACTGACAGCGATGAGTGGGATATTTCGACAACTATAATCACTCATTTTTGTAATAGTCATTTTCTTTGATGAAAATCTGCATCATATTACTTTCGGCGTCATCGGCTCCGATGAATAAAATACAGATGATACTTATTCGACGTTTCATCAAAAATTTCAATTTCTTGGAAATTGAATTAAAAATGTTGTTGCAACTTGAGATCAAGTATTTTAAGTGCCTGGATCAGAATTGTCTTGCATTGTGTAAGGTTGTCATCTTTTCATGCTGTTCTGGGCTCAAGCAGCTCAATCGGGGTTTTTAAATAAGTGTTCAGTATAAATAATACCGTGCAACTTTCAATGACCAGTTCGAATGTCAAACTCATTGATGAAAACAAACGGGACGTTATTATCACAGTATAAATCTACGGATTTTCGCATTTCTGGATCTCCATTGAAGGGTGCAACACGCAAAAATATGAACCTGGCTATATGAAGCAACCATTAGGTTAATTACAAGTTTAGAAACAAATATTCACGATCTACAAATTGTTGATATTGGTATAGTTTGGCAGAAGTTGCTGGATACAAGTTCGATTGAAGACCATGAAATGAGCCAATTTTTCTTAATATTGTTTCTGCAGCTGTGCAGTTACTCGAACTGTGCAATGTAAAACATAGCTTGTCAGTTGTCATGACCGATCCCTGACATTAGGTACTTTATAATAGTCAACGAGAAACTGTTTTTAAAAAGTTTTTGTTCGAAGGCAAACTACTGTAATATGAACAGGAGTTTCTCTCGTTATGCCTCTATTTTGAAAACAAAATTAATATGACTTTATACTCGAAGACGCGAAGGAATTTTGGTCTGAAACTTCCATGCATATGAAACATATTATACCTAATTTTTTTCCTAGTCTGATAACTCTGATTCATTGTTCTACTTCGTTATAGAAAGGAATGAGCTGCGAGTCTTGCAACGTTGAGCGTAGCGTAAGCATAAATAACGTGATTTAAATATTTTGTTTGATTTAGCCCAAGACCCCTTTTTCATTTAGCTTAACAAATCCAAAAGTTGTTTCAGTAATATGTTATATTATTTACTGCAGCGCCAGTTAAAACTTTCCTACATGCTACCCATGACCAAAACTAAATTTTTCGGGTTTGATTTATCATTCCATGAGGTGTGTTTAGCTGATTTCCATGGCACATATTTTGTAGTTGAATAAAATTGATCAATTTGGTCAGTTATTGAAATCTCTTTTACAGTTTACTTCTAGTTATAAATGGATTTGTCCCATTGATTATGCAATTTTTTGTATGATAAACGAACGAACGAACTCCCACACACGAACTGCATCATCAGACGGTCTGAAGCAAGTCTGCCTGTTTTATGAAGTTCTCGTCTCGGCCAGACAGCTTGCCCGGCGACGTAGCACTGAAATTGACGGCAGCTGAATGTATGTATGTATGTATGTTTGTTATGATGTTCTTTTCAAGAGAGGAAAGGAGGAGGAGAAAAAGAAAGCCTTGTCAGTCAATAGTTAGTGTAACTTCTTGTCATTCGTATGAAAAAAAAAAACAAATTCAGCCTTCTGACAGAAAACTATAATTATTTTGAATGATTGGGAGATTGTGCGATAATATGTTAAACAATTTTCCAAAAGATTAAATTGTTCATGCATGCACACGCACTTCACAACTTTCTGATTTGCTGATTATTCAATGTGCAGAATTGATTCAAAATTTGATTCCATAATGATTCAGGAATACGTCTGCTTTAAAAGATATTGAATTGTTCATGAATTTAAACCATGAAAAGATGGTGTTTGATGCAAAATGGATCTGCAAGGTTATTCTAAACGATGGACCCAATTGAATAGAATCGTATACATTTATGTATGAATTTGAAATGAATAATGTATACACCAATAAATAGAGAAAGATTCAAAGTTTTTTTTTGCATATTTATAAATGTTCAATATCTCCCCCTGGTGCTGCACGGCAAACATCTAAACGGTAGTCATACTCGTCCCACGCACGAGAAAGCATATCTTCTGTTACTGAGTACACCGTAGCAGTGATAAGGTTCTTCAGATCAACTAGAATTGCTGGTAGAGGAAAGACGTCAACAGAGTTGCAGGTAGTGGCGGGACGTTAACAGCTTCTTTGACGTAGCCCCATAAGAAATAGTCACATACAAGGTGAGATCACTCAGATCAGGTGATCTCGGTGGCCAGAAGTGTAGAGCCAGATCTTCATTTCCTGTGCTTCCTGCCCAACCCACAGGACGAGTTTGGCTTCCATTTACATGCTTGCCATGTTGCACAAAGGGAACATATTGAACGTTTGTTAATATGTAAAAAAAAATTTAAATATCCCTTTTTCCGTTGATGTATAATTATTCATTTAAATTCATACTTAAATAAATAAGAAATTCATTAAAGTGTGTTCATCATATAGAATAAATCCTGTATATTGATTTTGGTATCGTCTGATCACAAGCAGTTATGGCCTGCTGGCTACTGCACACCAGAGAGCCCTGGCTGTGCGCAAGATTCTTCCTTCTCTCTTCTTCTTTCTTCATTTGATCTTTCGAATATCATTTCATCGATCACGTCATGATTGATTGAATAAGGTCAAACGTGAATTATAATATAACGATTCACTCTAATCAATGGAAATACTTTTGTGCCGATTTCGAGTTCTTTAGAATCCATTTCCCAACTTCCCGTTAAGATCAGGGTATAGACTATAGATAGATAGTGATTACTAGTATAGTATAATGAAGTACATTAGTAGAATAGTGATCTAAATAATATGAAAACGTAATTCTATGAGCTCTCCAGGGACCAGATATTTCAACGAGCCACAATTTCAAATAGGCAATTGGAGATTAAGAAGTTTTTTTTTTATAATGATGCCTCAATAGTTCCGTTAGTAATTCTAAACTTGGGATGTATTCATAGAGACGTAGAGAATTAACTATCCTATTAAATTATATTAAAAAGACAAAGCACAATTTTAATTAGGGCCTAGCTAATGACTTCCTTAAGGCTCTAACGTTAATTCTACTCATTTATTTGCACAGCTTAGCTAGAGCGCTATAGTGAAGCAATAGTGGAGAGTAACTCTGCAAATAGTGTTAATTTTATGAATTAACTCAGAAATTTATTTATTCATTTGACAATCCGAGAAATTTTTAAAATTTTGTTCCATCGACCCAATTCGCAATGTTTTCCCAGTACGAAGACGCCCACATTGAAACCCGCTTCAAATAATACATATACACTGGTCTCATAGATTCGAGTCGTGTTATGCAGTGCTGTCTTGCACCGAGGTTTCAGTCAGCTGAGTTGATGCTCATTTATTTTCAGCAGACCAAGCAAGCAGTTAGTTACGGGACGCCTGTCGGAGACCACCACTGCCGTGCTTCGAATGGACTATCATGATCCCTTCCCTGAATAACGTAGCCTACAACATCTTGACTGTACCATTATCAGCCACACGCCACCAGACAGATCACATCCATTGAATTAGATCAATCAGCCCACAGGAAAATAAGCCTGGCGTCGTATGGCCCAGCGTCGTCTGCCAACACGCGAAAAAATATTACACCACCCGGACGGAGCGCGCCGGAGCCGTCCGTATCTGTCCCGTGTGTCGAATCAGCCCACGGTCGAACGGCCACGCGTCGTACGACGATAAATTTTGGAACAGAACTATGCTATCTGGAACCTAACCCCAAATGCTGTGAGCTAAAAGTTACGTAATTTAGCGAAGCTGCGGAAGTCACTCGCCGGCGGACGATAGATTTTGGAACAGAACTATGCTTTCTGGAACCTAACCCCGGATGTTGAACTAAAAGTGACGGTCTGGTGGTGCACGGCAGGATGCACGCAGATCCACAGGCGACCTGGGCTGGTTGGTCGCAGTCCGTTGTCCGCAAGTTACATTTCGAGCTTAAGTCAGGGTATGAAGTGATGATTCGATGCAACGTTCAGTGGTGCATAACCATTACTCTCTGGGCTATTCGCTTCAGAATGTGGTGGCGTAAAGCTCCTAATATTTAAAGCAAGATGATGTCACGGGCTGGCTACCGACGGATGGCTTAATCCGCGGCTGATTGGTGGTCATCCGGAAATATGCTAGGCGTTCCTTTCAAGGCTGATTGGTGCACAAATTTAGTGGTGCACGGCTGCGTACCCGTTAGTTACTACCTAAGGAACGTTAAAATTTCAAAAAAACGCTCTCATGGACATTTAAATAAAAATAACACTGGCTATTTATTTAATGCACATGGAACAGAAAGAAGTAAATGATCTTGTTAAGAGTACGTCTGGGGTGCTTTTTATTAACAAGATCTGAACAATTTCTCGAAATACGTTATGAGCCATTCTTGAAAGGGAGGATTAACAAAGTTATTCTCCAAACGTTTATACTGGAGTGAGTTTTATTAACACGGATATACTGGAGTGCGGATTATAACACGGATATTCTGGAGTGCGTTTTAATAATATGGATATACTGGAGTGCGTTTATTATTTTATATACTAGGGTGCTAATTCTCAACCCTCTACTGCCGTATGTCACTCTCCAGGAACATAACTTTCAACTTAAACTATACGTAAACTATTGATAGTAGCAACCTGAGGACGTTTGTACGCAACAGAGAACATTTTAAAATTGTCGTACGTGGCAACCATCAATGCAAGTCATTTTGCGCTCACTAGCAATGCAACCATTTTGGGAAGTAGGCTTGTGACAATACTGTTCCGGTTACTCGTGTTATTGGGAGGTAGAGGGTTAACAAGGTCATACTGGGGTGCTTATTCTTAACTAGATCCGAAAAAAGTTTGCTCAACATTTCAGAAGAATGTAGTCACCTCTCTGAAAAGAACAAATGTTAAATTGAATAGCAAAAACATTTGAACAATAAAAATAATCGTACAAACGACTACGAATAAGTGCTTAGTATGTTGAAATCCTAAACTCTCATGGAATCCTCAGTCAATGACGCATTATCAACAATAGAAACGAAAATTTACAATTACGAGTAAGATCGCTAATTTTCACGTTCTGTGGACATAAGCTTCATGATTACTACTTATTTTCTGACACTTGGAAGTAGTAAGATGTTCATTGGCCATTGCCGTCCATACCAGCACAGTTTATGGTAGCTTCCTTTAGCAGGTTTAGCATCACACAAGAAGTTCGCAGCAGTGCACGTCATTAAAACACATCTAAATGAAAGAAGAGGTGAGCCGTCTCATAAATATTGTTATTATTTAGTTCTGAGACATTACAAGTTTTATGGTGAATTTAATTCGCCTGAAAAACTCATGTAAAGTTTGTCGAATGACGACAACTCAGAATTATTATAAATTATCAGGCCCATACATCTACTAAAATACCGTAATCTTAGCAGGTTTCGAGCTCAACGTATCTGCCCTTCGATCTGCCTGTTCCAGAAGGTAATATAGAAACTCGGCGCCCACTCGCACACTAGAAATATTGTTTGAGTATCTCAGATTGAATTATTGTATTGTATTGACTTAATTACTATTGTATTGTGTTGTATTGATTGAATTATTGTATCAGATTAGAATTATTGTACTCGTATCTCCGTAACTTGTGCCACCCGCTCCTTAGATCCACTGTCGGGGTCGCCACAGACCCGCTAGTCTTCGGACTGGTATGAGGCAGTGCTTGAGTCATTGGTGGGCTAGAGCAGCACACTGGCAGGGGCTCTGTGGGCTTGTATAGCGAACGACCGAGTATTTCACTCGGTTGTGGAATTGCTACGCCCTTGTACCTCGGCCGGACAATTAAATGATATATAGAAAACGGTGCGTGATTATAAATGTGGCGGTGTGCACGGTGCGTGTCATACATGTAAATTGTGCAGGGTTGAATTATTTTCCACACATACGGGTTATAAATCGTCCGTGTACCAGAATTTCATTAATGGAAATGATTTCTTTTAGGGTGGTAACCTGAATTGTGGAAAGTCAGATGGAGCTAAGCTAATCAAATTGAGAAATAAAAATTTGTTTCAAAACTGCAATTTGGACCTTAACATAAACTGAGCAACTTAGAAACCCCGGGAATGGCAAATGATAGTTGGTAAAGTGATGAAATATTCAAGTGCAATTGGTCTGGTTTAAATCTCAATCCCATTCGCAAATGTAAGCGCCTGCTAGGGAACAATTAACCTCCGCGTATTGGTACCAGGAGGCGTTAGACAAAGGTACAAGGTTCATGAGAGCGCACGTGGTGACGTTCTTCGGGTCAACTGTGCTCCACGGGACAGAGGCCTTGGCTTTGCTCACTGTAACTCCGCTGTCGAATGTCCAAGTATTGTTGATCATCTCGAATCCAACGTAGAATCTCTTGGCTATTTCTGTAGACATGGACAAGTAAACAGAAGTAATATAGGAAAGACTGTTTGTGCTATGTCAAGAAATGCCAAAATATTTACACAAGTCGAGCAGGAGTGCTGAACAATTGACACTTGAGCCTACTGTTGTAGTTGACACATGTGGGGCAGTTGCAGTCGGCTGTTTTGTTTCCACACATGCCGGTAGCGTTGCAACAATACAGGTCGAATGCGAATGGGTAGCATGGCTGTGGCTGGCCGTCCGGTAGAGTTGGAGCCGCAGCTCCGCACAAGTTATCCAGTGGCTTCGCGTATCCTTTAGATGGAAAAAATAACCATTAATACTCTATTATTACATTGATTAGTTAGCTGACGCAAGCTGTGAGAATTTCGCTCGGACGTGAATTTTCTTGTAGCAACGTATCGCCAAATTCTATATCATGAGATTTTATATCGTACAAACGAATTCATTAGAAGACTTGATATGGCAGCTTGAATAATTCATAGTGCACGCCCAAGTCAGACTATGATTGAAATGACTCGAGGATTCACTAACAAATAACAATCGATTTCTCACTCTTGTTGAAGAGGTAGTCTGACATGGCAACGGCTTCAGCTAAAGTTTCAGGAGAGTAGAGGTGAGATCCTATAGGGCAAGATGTGCGCGCTGTCGTGAAATTTACAAGGTTGTTGGTAACGAAGTTTAAGCACCCAAACTCCGGGTACTCGTAGAAAGGATATCGGCAGCGAGACCCTGTATGCCAATGGGCGATGATTAATTTCATTACACATGTTATTCCATACCGAACAGAGAGTTATTGAGTTGTTCAATTATAGCTCAAACCAGACAATGTAACGTAGTATTTGATTGACGAATATTCATGCTTTTGATTAGAGAATTTAAATGTTATATGACTTATATCTCACCGGCCAGAAAGCATTTCCAGTTAGAGACGCGACCCCTGATGCCGTTGAGGTCTGCAGCTGTGATGATAACGCAAGTGACGCCATCATAACACACGAGATCTGCACCCGTTGCAGCGCTGCTCACAGCGGCGCACCGAGCCATGGACGTCGTAGCGAACTCGATCTTGTCGCCTGCTGCCACGTATGCGGGGTCAGCTTTTTCGGTGTACCACAGTCTGCTGTTGATGACTGCATCGTTTTCTCGCAGGAACCAAAAGATGAGCATGTACAGGCACCAGAACTGCATCGCTGACGTCGTGCACCTGAAATAAATTAATTTTATTATATCCGAGCGTGAATTGGTTTATCTATCTATCTGTCTATCTATTCGCTTAACACAAGCTTTTATGATTAAATGGATTTCTTCTTTACAATACGTTTCAGTCAAATCTTTTAGCTAAGATAACGCCCTTACTGACACGTGTGTCCCATCAACTTGGTTGGCTGAGATATTGCCAAGTTGGTAGACTTTTCTTTCATTAAAAAACTTTTTAAATCTTAAGCATCATTTGCGCTAAGGGCTAAGCGAATCGGCCAAACTGAATTTAAATTTGAGATGGCAGTGAGCCACGGCGTCTGGCAGCGCATACAGTTACAGTGGCGATGTATTCGGGGTATGGAGGAGGAAAGGGATTTATTGGTGAATGAATGAATTGCTAAACTAAATGAGGCGAATATTGCTTGCGCGTAACAAAACAGTTACGGCTCTTAGGTCTTTTATTAATAAGTGCGTAACTTTCAACGCCCCAAATTTACGTAGGTAATTTTCGGGTTCGTTGATGAATTTGTATAGGCTTTGAAAGCTTGTTGAAGAAACCTCATGCTCCGACCACCGCCTGGCCTGGTGATGTTGGATACGACAATTGGAACTGATACCCAGCCAAGGGCTATACCTTAAAAGGGACTGGCCTGACTCAACTTTTACCATCGAAGAACGGATTGGGGACAATTTGGAATGAACTTGCCGTAACTGATTGGAGAGAAGAGTGTCACGAGATGAAGGCAGAGGAAATTTACACAAAACTATGTGCGAAACTAGCACAGGTATGTGTGCGTCATACCCCGAGAAAAACGGGCCCGAAGTCCGCGGCATTCCGAGAGACCGACGAATCCTCATGCGAAAACGCACACGATTGAATAAACAAATAGCTGAATACACTAGTGATCTGAGGAGACAGAGGCTAGTAGATTTGCAAAAGGAAACCGAACTCAGGTTGCAGGACTCGCACGGGATGGAAGAACATGGTGCCGAGGAACGAATAGTTGGGGTCATCAGAAAGAACTCGATGTATTTTTTCAAATACGCCCAGTCCAAGGCTAAACTAAAAACACCAGTGAGCCCACTGAAGGACAACGTTGTCCTTGTCGGAGATGACCAAGGCATGAGTGATTTACTGGGATCTCAGTTGGAATCAGTCTTCAGTAACCCCCGCTACTCAAGGGAGGAGAATGAAATCGAAGTTCTCCAGGAGCTGTCAGGTGTACGGGGGTTGGATATCATCGAGTTTGGACCAGAAGATGTGGAAATAAGTATCAAAGAACTGACGACATTCTCAGCACCAGGACCGGATGCTCTTCCTGCAATGTTGTTGAAGGAATGTGTTGGAACTCTGAAAGCTCCGCTCGCAATGCTCTGGAAAGCCTCGATGATAGAAGGAGTTATTCCTGAGGGACTCAAATGGGACTGATAACGCCAATCCGCAAAGGAGGCCCGGATGACGTACATCAAAATTACAGACCGGTGACTTTGACCTAACATGTGATCAAAGTTTTTGAGAAGGTAGTGGCCAGGAGGCTTGTCCAGTAAATGGAAGAGGCTGAACTGTAAATAATGGGCAACATGTTTTCCGGCGAAATTGTTATTTTTGCCACAGTTATGGGAACACCATGACTGCCCTATGGCCCTACTGGAGGAGGGAGCTGGCGTGGATGTATTATACCTGGACTTTTCAAAAGCTTTTGACAAAGTTGACCATGGAGTGCTCTTAAGAAAACTGATACTGTTGGGAGTAGGAGGAAACCTGTTAGGAAGGATCCACAACTTCCTCACAAATAGAGTACGTACAAGCTGTCGCAACTCGCAATTGGAAAATCGAGAGAAGAGAGGGGGAAAAGCGGAGTGTCACAAGGCTCGATGCTTGGACTGATCCTCTTCCTCATCCACATCATCGATATCGACTCGGAGCTTACCCACGCATCTACATCGTCATTTGCGGACGATACTAGATCGAGTGCTGATGAAGATCACAGAGGACCTAGCGTGCGAGATGTTACAGGATGACTTGTCGACATTCACATAATGATTGTCGATTGTGTGTGATGACTTGTCGACAATCACAGGCAGAGTCGACACAGAGACAGGTATACCACATCACTACTTGGCATCGGATGGCACAGCAATTGAAAAGAAGCGACTTGTTCGAGATCTCGGAGTGTTGATGTGTACCGAAGCCACGTTCGATGGCCACATCGAAGAAATAGTTGCGCGAGGCAGACAAAGGATGGGGTGGATTTGGCGGACATTTCGAACAAAAAAAGCAGCGCCAATGATTACACTCTTCAGAGCCCTACAGCTCCCCAATCTTGAATACTTCTGTCAGTTTTGGGCGCCGCTCAAGGCGGGTGCGGTGCGGAAACTGAAGGCAGTGCAGCGGACCTTCACGTACAGGATCAGCGGCATGAGGGAGCTGAAGCTGAACTACTGAGAAAGGCTGAAACACGTAGGGTAACATGGGGCAGCGAGCCCACTGCGGGTCATGGGCCCATAGCGGGTTTCTCGCTACGTATGGCAGATATTGGCCCGTGTTCTCTACCGCCAGTCGACAGTTTCACTGGGATGAAGTGTACGGATTTACGTTTTACTAAGTGTTTGCGTTATTAAGTTATTTGTGAATAACTGTTTTAGTCCAGATAAAATTTTTTTTGCTGCTAAATAAAATTTTCTTCGATTACTGTAGATGAAGCTTTTGAAATTACTGTGAATTATATTTTCAAAGTAATATTTATAGAGATAATTTTGAGATCAAATTTAGACTATTAGCTTTTAAAATAAAATATTGACATGATATAAATTGAAATGATACCTAGTGAGGCAACGGGCCCACTCGTGTCACGGGGCAAAGCGCCCATGGTGAAGTCTCGTGTTATACATCATTAGATTTGTCTCAATGACCTTTTCAAACTATGACTAGCTTTTTGAATTACAAATTACACTTCATATTGCATGATTTTTTGCTTTGCCGCCTCAAGACAGCAGGTTTCGTTTCTAAATATGCGTATTTATGACCCCTTATCGAGTTATTGACTCTTGCCTTGCAAAAAATTGATTTCAGCCAACACCAATGAGCCAAAAGTTGATGAGTTTTTGTTGTGTTGGCTGAAATCACGATTAGGTACGAATTCTCTGCACATAATATCTGGATTATGGACGAAACTGGAACGAATTTTTTTTCTGATCAACTAAATATATTTTTTCTAGTCAAGGATACATTTTTTCATGTTTAGGGCAAATTTTTATCGCAAAAATATATTTTTCAAGTCAAGGATATATATTTTTATGTCAATGAAATATTTTTCTTCACGTCAGTGATAGATTTTTTAAGCCAAGAGTATATTTTTTTTCAAGTTAAGTATATGAATTTTTGAGTTGTTAAGAAATGAGTGAATGTCATATTTTTCATTACATTTTCTTATTTTTAACTGTAAAGTGTTGTTTTTTCTTTTTTAAACGAAAAATATGCATTTGTGGTTAAGGGACCAAGGATGGGCGCCTTGCCCCAAGCCCATGGGCCCATTGCCCCAGGGGTGGGGCAATGGGCCCATTTTGACACTTTTTACAAAATGGTGTTTCATTAAAAATTGAATAACTCTTTAGGCGTCTAATTCACATCATACATTCCTCATTAGTTGTACCTTTAAACAAAACAAAGAACCACCTCGTATCAATTAAAACTTTATCAAAAATTTAGTTTAAAAAAAGTGGGGGGCGGCGCGCTGCCCCACGTTGCCCTACTGTACTCACTGGAGAGGAGAGAGAGGTATATCATACTGTACACTTACTTAGAAGATGATAACCGGACTGGCTCCAAACTTTGAAAGTGAGACCTCCAAAATTCTGACATCTTACAACGAAAGAGGGGACACTGTGCCGGATTCCCCCATTCAACAACCTTGACGCGGCCAGCGTACAGACTCTTCGTGAGGGATCACTATCCGTGGTAGGACCAAGTCTGTTTAACTCCTTAACAAAGGTGCTGAGAGGAGGGGAGTTTACCCATGCGGCTTTCTAGTGATAACTGGATAGGTTTCTGAAGAAGATCCCTGATTGCCCAGTTATTAGAAACTACCCTCAGCAAGTGACAAGCAACAGCATCTTGCATCAGCTGGCCCAAAGGAGGGAAAATAGACGGAACACGTCCAACGTTGCATCGGGGACCCGAGGGCGGGGTGACCTGCCAATCAACGACTTGGTGACGGAGGACGACGAAGGCAGAGCATCAGCTTGACCATGGGCTGAGAAGCCTTAAACTCATCATAAGGTCATAAAGAAAGGCTGTGTGGTCGTGAACGACTTGTAGGTTCCACACACCAACTCCCCTCCTCTTCTCATACACCCTTCATAAGACCCTACTTATACACCCTCTTCTTATACACTCTCCATAAGTATTAAGGTGGAGGCCGCCGTGGTTGAACTATATAAGGTTGACCCACGAGAAGTTCCACCTTTCAGTTCAGCTTTCTGTTACGTTACTGACATCGAGAAACGTAAATAAATCCGTCATTCCCAAGACTGATTGGTTGACTGGTTTGATAGCATTTCAGTGATTGGTTAATGCCCGTGACGTCACTGAGATCAGTGACATCACAGGCGAATCCACAAAATCTATCCGCGAAAATGAGCTTCTCATGGGTCAACCTTATACCAGTTCAACCATGGAGGCCGCCTTCCACCTTCCCACTCTCCCTGTACTGTAACGGGTTAATTTGATTCTTATATATATTTCCACTGAAATTGACTGATAGCTATTATTTAAAGAACCATAAACGCACAAAGCACTTCGAATGCAATTATTTTGCCATTAGTAAATCGAAGTAACGAATAATAATTTTTAACTTTGTTTGATATTTCATCATGATTTTAATTTAATATTATTTTTTTTCTTATTTCGCACCCGCAGCGTGCACATTTTCCAAACTTGTATTTGATACAGACTTCATATTCATTTTGCTGGTATAAAAGTGTAAACAAGAGTAAAAATTATAA